GCACAGTTTTCCAGAACTGGTCCCCAAAGTGCTGTTGCAGCCGACTCTGCCCGCAGCACAGGATAGCACCTTCCCCTCCCCTGGCCAAGGCACTCACACGGTGGTACAATCCTGGAGCCAGTGTGGGGAGCCTCTGGAAGGTTTTGGGGTGACAGGAGGAAACCGGCAGCAACAACGCAGGATGCTGAGTCCGGCATGGCCCACAGCACTGGGAGGGGCCGAGTGAGCAGGGGTCACAGGCGGGCACTGAGGCGCAGACCCCCGCAGGCCTGGCCTGCCGGAGGCCCCGGCGTGGGCAGTGCCTCCGGTGCACGAGCGCCCTCACTATTACAGGCAGGTAGGGGCCGGTCCCTTTGTGGTGGGCAGTTCTGTTTGGTGTTCTCTGCCACTGGCCCAGCTGAGAGAGGAGCAGAGCGTCCGGGGCTGGCCCGCAGGTGCAGGGAGGAGCAGACCGGGAGCAGCCGTCGGGCATTGTCAAAGGTCTGGCTCTGGTGCCAGGGGAAAGTCGATGGTGAAAGTACGTTTGCTTTAATACAGTTGCAGAATGATGCGTGTTCGTGAGGAAGTGCACAGCCACTCAGCAGTGCAGAAACTCCTTCTTTAAAGTCTGTGCCTCGGCTCCCTGGGCTGGGACCACTGACCGCTGTCCACAGGGGCCCTAGAGGCTGCCTACCGACCGCAGGCAGACGGAAGAGTGCGCACACGGTCCTGTTTTGTTTCACAATTATCTTCATGTTCTTGACGATTATGCTCTTGGTCAGGCAGGGAATTGAGCCCGTGTCATTGCCTTGTGCTGCAGCTAGTACTGTCCCCCTCGGACAAGCTGGCCAGCGGTTGGGTGACAGGCTCCCGGGGCCCTGCACAGTGTGGGGAAGTGGGTCTGGTGGTGTCGTGTGTCGCAGTAACGCTTGGCAGCCGGGTCCTGTGCACGCCCACCCGTGGGACGCCCTGCGGGATCGGCCTGGCTCCTGGGAAGCTGCGCGTGGACTCGCCGGGTGCTTGGCTCCTGCACACGGCCTCTGCCACTCTTGGACGAGCAGCGTGGCTGAGCTGGGCGCATGTCAGGGGTCCTTTTGCAAAGGGATCGAGCCAGACTAATCGGAGTTTCTCCTGTAATGCGTCTCCGGTGGGAGGTTCCTTAATCTGTGCATTAAATGGAGGGGAGCACACAGGAGCTGGTGTTCCCGAGCAGCCTGTGGGGCCGGACGCCAGCGGGCTGTCCTTCTCCTTTTAGGATCTGACCTACGCACATGACCCTCCCCCCGCTTATCTGGAACCCTGTGTCCGCATCATCATGTTCTCTCTGCTCGGCATCGTTCTTGAGAAGGAAAAAGACCAGCAGACCCCGAAGCCCACAAACACATGTTACGAAAGAAATACAGGTGTGATTTCAAGGACACGGCCCGCCCCTCCCAGGTTCCCCCCACAGTGTCAGGCTGTATCTTTCTCGTCTCTCTGACTCGGCCCCGATGTGGACCTGTGGATAGCATTGGAGCTAATGATAGAGACCAGCCTGCCTGGCCTGGGGGTCTGGTGTGTAGTCGCATCTTTGGTCACTTAGCCAAGAGCGAGGGGCTCTGGTCAGCCTTCGGAGCATCTTCCTGACTTACGTTTGGTCTTGAGTCTCCCTGCGGGTCCCTCAGGAACAGAATTTGGCCCGCCCTGCTCTCTGGGTGCCCTGTGCTTGGACTTTCTCCTGTAGCCCCCTAAAGACCCTCATGGCCTTTGCAAATATCTGGCTCATCAGCAAACCCACCTCAGCGTCCTCTGAGAGCAGTTGGGGTCCCCTTGCAGGACCCGTGAGAGGTGGGGAGCCCACACCTGCAGCCTTGGCAGGGTCGAGGCTGCCTGAACTGTGTACCCTTCAGTGTGGGGTTTTCCTTCTACCCAGCGACCACCTCTCCAACGTTCTGGACGCCAGCTGGGTGCGCAACAGTTCAGTTCCATTTCAGCACTGACTAGTGCCCCACAAGTCTGTCCCCACGTCAACGCCAGTCCCAAATCAGGGCCCCCCAGACTCTGACGGATCGGCTGTAAAGTCAGGGGATCCCACTTCTCCTCAGGTCCGGTAATTTGCTGGAGCAGCTCACAGAACTCAGTTTGTAATACAGGACGCGGCTCGGGAAGCGCCGAGGGCAGAGATACGCGGGGCCAGGTGTGGGGAGGGGCGCAGGCTTCCATCTCTCTCTGCGTGTACCGCCCTCCCCGCACCCCCGACCCACAGCTCCCTGCGCCCCTTGTGGAGGGGCACTGATGGAGGTTCCATGGCGTGGGCAGGACTGATGACATCACTGGCCGTTGGGGATTGAACTCAACCTCCAGCCCCTCTCCCCTCCGGGAGGCTGGGAGGAGGCTGGCGGTATCAGCCCCGTCGTCCTGGTTCCGTCTTGCTGGTGACCAGCCCTCTCCTGAAGCTGTGTAGGGGCCCCAGCCACCAGCACCAAAACACACCTGTCACTTGGGAGATTCCAGGGGTTTTAGGAGCAGGGTCCCAGGAACTGGGGTCAAAGACCAGCTGTTTGTTTACCACAGGCCACAGCCCTGCAGAGCTTGTGGCCTTTCCCTAGGGAAGTCTCCCTGCGGGGCCTGAGCTTGCCTGGCAGGTGGGGCATCTTCTCACGCAGGCACACACTCCGCCCAGGCCTCCCAGGCCCGTGGAGAGGGACCCTCCCTGTGGGGCGCTGCTGGGATCTGTCACCTGCACATGCCCCCCCCCCCGGACCCCCCTCTGCCTCCTGCCCAGGCTGACAAGCACCAGGGACTCTTCTCTTCTCCCCGACTGTGGTCACGCTCTTACCCAGAGCAGCGAGCTTCCACCTACCTTCTCATTCCTCACGTCCTGGGAGAGGCTCGCTCTAGAATGCGTGACCCAGAAAAAGGCCTCCTCTATTGCGATATTGCCAGTGGCCTATGAGCCAGCGCATCCTCCGCACGATGCGGCAACAGCCCTTCCCGGCACGTCCCTGGGCTCCCAAGTCCCACGCGGCTCCGTGCGGGCGTGAGGCCCACGAGCCCACGGGGAGATGCCTGCACGGGGATCGGCGTCCGGGGGTTTGCGCTGTGACAGGCGCTTCGCTGAGACAGCCGTGCACTTACTTCTTTTGTGCCGGGGGCAGGCTACGTGTCTCTGAACGTAGCCGTATTAGGAAAGCTGGCCAGTGAGCATGCGGGGAGCAACCTTTCGAGACCGGCAAGGTTGTTGGCTTTCTTGGTGTGAGGCCAGATGCCGTGTGAAAAGCATTACGTAGCTTTAATTTCCAGGCCGTTTGTAAACAAATAGAGGCTTCTAATGAATGAGCAGCTGTGGGTTAGAGTGTTAGATCCTGTCATCACCCACCCAGCATGGGGCGTGGCTGTGAGGCCGGGAGACACTGGTTGGACGGGGCTGGTTTTGGGTGCTTCCTTCTCTCCTCAGCCGCAGGTGCTGTCTGTACGTAGGAACCCCTCCCTGCAGGAATGTGAAGGCACCAGCCTGTGCACCCCGGCACGACGCCTGCCCTGTCGTCACTCGTGATGCTGATGCTATCGGTGTGACCAGCCCTGGGCGATGGGCGCGTGCTCATTCATACTGCGCTCAACACCTCTGCCCGAGCAAGTGTCATGCCCACTGTTCAGAGGAGAAAAGCAAGGCAGAGAGAGTGAGTCACTTGGGCAAGGTCACCGAGAGCTACTAAGGAGCAGAGGCTGGGTTTGAACCCCCGTCGGCCCCCAGAAATGAGCTCCGACCCCTGCACATCGCACACAGCACACCGGCGCTGTGCTTTTTGCATTTTTTAGTGCTGTTTCCCTTAAGCCCTCACTCCCACTCGCACCAGAA